GTATACTCTTGGAAGTCAAGCTTCCTCTGTGCAAGGTGCCGTGTGACCCGTCACAGAATACACTACGCAAAATAAAAGTGTGCATTCAAGCAATAAATACTTGTCCAGAAAAGTGAGTGAACACTCACCAGGACTAACACCAAGCCCCAGTGCTGGAAACGTAACTGCGCGAAAAAATGTTGAGCATGAAGACACTACCTTGGCTGGCGCTGCTACGCGCAGTGAAAATGGATTGGAGTTGACATACAGTGTGCAGCGGGGCTGCCGTAGCTTTGGGCTTTGAGGAAGCGTAACTTAGGTCACCGACCTTTCGTTGTATACTTAGTACAATTACGAGTTTAGCAGGTCGCAATCCGCTTACTCCAGGAGTAATTATTGCCTTAACCCAAGGTTAATTATCTTTTCCGTTTAAATTCAGAAAAACAGACTTTTTTTATATGCGGCAAAGCCGCCTAATTTTAAATGCATAGATTTTCCTAAATATGTGTAGAAAAATCTTAATACATGTATAACTACTGGCTATCCAGCCCCGTACCGTATTCTTGTGTGGGTGTGATCACACCATGCCCATCTGGTGTGACATACACACCTGTTACCAGGGTATGTGTAACCCCGTTACACACTATGTAGCGGGGTTGAACTTGTTGTTGACGATGCGCCTCGTCGTGCAGACATGTGGGTGTTTCGATGAGCAGCCGTCAACCGTAGATATCAATATTACCGGTGTGGACAGGCTAATTGCGCAACTTGCGGCTTTGTGGATTAGCAAAGTATATAGCGAAGTATTCAACAAAGATGCTATCCATCAGAGCATAGCAGATATATAAATCCAGAAATGAATCCAGTTGAATATTTGATAAGATATTCTAGATAGGCTTAGCGGTAACACAGCGATCTAAGGACCTAGTATGTATTAACATTGCATTTTGCCATCTACAGCACAAGTGCCTTCCTGCTCTTCAGGTTATGAGCCCAAGCCTTGACTTCCCTACCCCAGACGCCGACCACGCCTTATTCATGGACGCTTCCTCCACCATTACCTCCCGTATCAACAAGTTTGATGCTACAAACTTCTACACTTGGAAGTTAAAAATGCTTGAGGAGCGAGGCCATTGTGGGGTCGTATGCGGAGAGATCAAGCTGGAGCAGTGCGTAACGTCGTTGGACCAATCCATGTACAAGCGCAAGTTTTGCAAGGCGATTGCGATCATCTGCCTTGCGATGAAAGATTTTTAGCTACTGTTGGTTCGCTCTGCTATTTGTGTGCATGATGCTTGGTCACGGCTGAAAGGACACTTCGAGAAGAATAGCCTAGCAAACAAGTCCTTTCTTCATCGTCGCTTCTTCACGGCCAAGCTGGAAGAAGATATGCTGGAGCACATCAACAAGATCAAAACGCTGGCGAAGCAGCTCGACGCAGTAGGCGCACTGGTCAGTGAGGACGACCTGATCATTACGCTTTTAGCCAGTCTCAGCGAGTCATGCGCGTTTTTCATTAGGGTATTGGAGTCGAGAGCCGACTCGTTGTCGTCGGAGCTCGTGACGTCTTGGCTGCTACACGAAGACTTGTAAAGCAAAGAGCAAGGTGGCGGCATTGATGGAGCTGTGTACAACTAAGGTCCAGCGTTCGTATCGAAGGAAAGTGTATTGCGCAAGGGATGACAAGTGCCAGTGAAGGGTAACAGCTCCTGTCACCACTGCGGTGAGCGTGAGCATTGAATCACGAAGTGCCCAACTCAAATTCGCGAGAATGCCGAACGACAACGGCCGCACACGCAAACATTGCTCGGAATGATGACGATTCTGGCAATTATCTTTTCTCGTTTGCGATATTGCGTGTACGGTCAAGTCAAGTTGCGTGCGGATGGTCGACTCGAAAGAGTACATGAAGAATTACAAGAAAATTGCACCAGTCAACGTTGCATCTCGCGGACGATGGTGTGATGCAAGCGATTAAAACGGCGATATTGTGATGTCGATGATGACACCACGTGGAATGAAAAAGGGTTTGCTAACAGATGTTGAAATATCCCAAAGCTTTGTCGCAACTTGTTTTACTTTGGACGTTTTACCAAGGATGTTGGTCCAGTCATTTTCGAGCGTGATGGATGTTTTGCGTAGGCGAAGGGTTTACGTTGGAAGCTTGCCGCCCGCAAAGAAAAAGAACTGTTCAAGCTATGTATGAAGCCAATTCACAAACAAGAAGCCAATGTGTCAAATTCGTCGGGATGCCATGGGGAAACCACAACGTACCTCTGGCATCTTCGAATTGAACGCATTGGCTGTTCAGGTCTTGACACCATCGTCAAAAGAAATATGTCATTCGTTTCGGATTGACATCAGTGAAGCAGTAGGAGCGATGGCATGGCGGCGCTCTTGGTAACCAAACACGTGGTATTTTCGCCAAATTCCACTTATCGCGCTACAAAACTGTTGGAATTGGTCCACCGTGACGTATGCGGTCCGATGCAGACAGCTATGTTTAGCGGCATGCGATATTTCGTTACGTTCATCGACCAGTACTCGCACTTTACCGTGGTGTACTTGCTGTGAAACAAATCAGAAATTGCAAGCAAGTTTTTTCTTCGCCGCATACGCTGACACTCAGACTGGAAAAGTCGTGAAAGCTCTTTTTGTGATATTGGTGGCGAGTATTCGTCTGGTGGATTAGCAAAGTTTTGTCAGCGCTGTAGCATTGTGCAAAACGTTTCGCCGCCATAAACGCCTCAGCTCAGTGGAGTGGCT